TGACTTGTTGAATGGTTTGGTTGATTTTGAATATGTTAATAGAACAAATTTAGTCCTTATCCATAAGATAAACAACCCTAGAACAATGTGAAATTTCAAACCTATAAGTCTTTGCATGGTTTTCTATAAAATTGTGTCAAAAGTGATTGTTAATCATCTTAGGCCTTTAATGCCTAAATGTATAGCAATCAACCAGTGTGCATTTTTGCCAGGAAAGAAAATATATGATAATTTTCTCTCTCATGAGCTTATCCATTACCTTAAAGGCTAAAAAAATAAGCCTAACAAAGGGGTAACACTTTCGGTAGGAAAAGAGAATATTAACACCATCAACTTTGTACGAAACAAAACCGCTCAACATATACAGAGATGGACCAAGAACTTCCTTTCTTTTAGTGGTCATTAGGTATTTCTTAAGTCGGTTGCTCAAGCCCTTCCCACTTACGCCATGACCTGTTATTTGCTTCCAGAGGGCGTCATTGAGACATCACTTCCTAGATCCGATCCTTCTCGTGGGACAAGATATGTATAACAAAAAGAGAATAGAGTCTAAGCTTCAAAGATCTCAAGCTTTTCAACTTAGCCCTTCTTAGTACTCAGGTTTAAAGGATTCTATAATATTCAGACTCTTTTGCAGGGAGAGTATTGAAAGTGAAGTATTTCCCTAATCAGGAATTCCTTGATGCCAAGTTTGGGAATCATGCATCTCACTCTTGGGAAATCATCTTTAAAGCTAATGAGTCTCTAAAAGAATGATACTTTTGAAGGATTGGATATACTGGTCGGACAAGAATGTTTTTTAACTCATGGGGAGATTTTCCCTCTGTTAGTTAGACAAGCTCTTATTTTGACAACAATGACAATCTAGCCAAATGCATGGACTTCATGCTCCTTTGAGTGCCTAGATGGGGTGAAGGTAAGATTAAAAGGGTTTTTTTTTCAACTGATGATGCGAACAACGTGGTAGGGACTCTCATTGCTCATTCTAGAGAAGATGAACTCATTTGGATCCATCATAGTTCTGGATACTTCTGGGTAAAATTAGGATACAATTGGCTCTTTCTTAGGAAATGAATATCTAGAGACAATGAAAGAATCTGGAAGACCCTTACCAAGCTTCCTATCTTACCGAAAATCAATATTTTTGGGTGGAGGATTAGTCACAATTATGTTCTGACAGGAGAAAAACTCATGAACGCTAGCCTTTTGAAAGGAGGTTGCCTATTTTTGTGGAGGTGTGACGGAAACATTAATGCATCCCCTTAAAGATTGCCCCAATCTTCTTATCTCATGCCTCAAATCTTCCATCATTGAGTGGAAGGGTGATTCATGCAAAGCTTGGTTGAATTGGGCTGCCTCTCAACTTGATCTCATGGGTTTGGCAAGATTAAGCATGCTACTGTAGAATATCTAGAATAGACGCAACAAGTATGTCCGTGATGGAGAGCTATATAAGGACAATGATGTTGTTATCACGGCTTGAAACTTCTATTCGAAATTCTTTGAAGTTAAAGATGCATGGACACACAACCAAATGACCAACCATCATTCTCAGACATGGAACCGATCTCCGACTCTTATCATTAAGATCTATGTGGATGGATCTTGTAGTTTAGCCAACAACATCGCGACCATCAGAGTCATTGCTAAAGACAATAATGGTATAATGGTTGGTGGGATGTGTAGAAAGCTTCCTCCCCTGTTTTCTATATAATAAACCGAAGTCAAAGCGGTCACTCAAGGGCTAAAATTTACGATTAAGAATGGTTGGAACAATGCAATCATTGAAGGTGATACAATCTCCATTGTTAACAAACTCACCAATCGTAACGAGGATGTTTCCACAATCAGATTTTTTCTCAACGAAGCTTGAGAGATTTTGGCCTCTAATATTCAGCTCAAGGTGTTTTATGTCAACCGAGAGGCCAACCGGGTTGCTCACTCTCTTGCTCAATGGACTTTGTCGATTCCCAATCTGTTTTGGTTCTATTATGATGAGCCTGATCGTATTAAAACTGATGTAATACACGATGCAATTGGTATATAATGAAATTCACTTTACTCAAAAAAAAATTTGCCTCAACTATTTTAAAACGATAAGATATAATGCCCTGCCCATCTTGTTTACTACAGTTTCTTGCATTTGTTATGTGTTCTTTTTATATTTCTTCAAAGTTGTATGAGTGGACACGATTTATTTTATTGAAAAAAATTTACAGTTTAATACTTAAAATAATTTATTTTGATTATAGAAAAAATGTAATATGAGAAAGAAAAAAAAAATTATAGTATGAAATGTACATTATCATATTATTTCCACGTATTATCCAAAAATCTACAAGTCAACCGCCACCTTTCAAACAAACACAATATCCGCTTGTCTCCTACCCTATATATCGGCTCAACCGAAGATGGACAAACTCCATGTGAACCAATGACAAGAGAATCCCTACCATCACTTAGCAAATTAAATTCCAGTTTTAGATTACTCTCGAACTCCTACTATCACCTTTATCCACCCCTCTCTTCTACTAACTGCCATATTCTTTCTTTTCTTTTCATTTACGTCCCCAAATTCCAAAAAAGAAAAGAATCAACCACCATGGCCGCCAACACACTGATCAGCTGTGGCACACCACTGCTTTCCCTTTCTTCCTTTCGTCTTCTAACTCGAAGTTCGCCAGCGCTACGCGGTTGCCTAGTTTCGGCGCCACTGTCAGCCACCGTGTTAGCATGACGGCCGACTGGATGCCTGACCAGCCTAGGCCTCCTTATCTTGATGGTTCAGCCCCAGGGTACGGTTTCGAATTGTCTGTTTTCCTTTTTTTTTCCTTTCTATTTTTATAGTATTTCTTAAAAGTGAGTAACTTCGACTCCATTAAAAAATGTTGAATTTTTTACTGAAATTAATAACTTCGATTACTAGTGGCGGATGTACAGTTTATTCAGGTGGGTAATTATCCATTCTAAAATCTGAATTTTATTTTATTAGTTATTTATTTTACTAATTATTCCCTTCATATTTACTTGTGTGCACCCGTACAAAAATTTTGTGTTTTTAATATATATATATATATATATATATGAATAACATTTTCAGATGTACTTCTAATTTCATAAAATAGACTTAAAAAGTTTCAAATAAAATTAAAGTTATAAAACAATACTCATGAATTTGAATAACTCAAATTTTTTTAAATCAACTCAATAAATTACTTGCTCTTAATATTTCTTACAAATAAATCTGTGCTTTATATGTTTGGTTTTCAGTGACTTTGGGTTTGACCCGCTTAGACTTGGTGAGGTGCCAGAGAATCTCGATAGGTACAAGGAATCTGAGATATATCACTGCAGATGAGCTATGCTTGCAGTTGTACGTGTTTTCTTGGTCAAATTATGGATTTAGTCCCTCTACTTTTATTTTGAAATGCTTAAATTGAGATGCATGTAAAATTTTGCAGCCTGGTATATTGGTTCCCAAGGCTTTGGGGTATGGAAATTGGGTAAAGGCTCAAGAATGGGCAGCGATTCCCGGTGGGCAAGCCACTTACTTAAGCAACCCTGTTCCATGAGGAACTCTTCCAATGATATCGGTCATCGAGTTCCTCACCATCGCCTTCGTAGAGCACCAACGTAGCATGGAGAAAGATACCGAGAAGAAGTACCCCGGTGGTGCTTTCGATCCCCTGGGATACTCCAAGGACCCTAAAAAGTTTGAGGATTATAAGGTCAAGGAGATCAAGAATGGAACAAACTTCAAACCCTTTTTCTTCAGATAATATACTCGAATCCGATTCGATCTAAACCAACCCGAAGACCTTTTAGTTTGTTGATTGTGATTGATCTTTGTTGTTGTTGTTTATAGGTTGTTTGACAATGTTGGCGTTCGTCGGATTTTGTGTTCAACAATCAGCTTACCCGGGAACCGGACCATTGGAAAACTTGGCGACTCACTTGGGCTGATCCATGGCACAACATTCATCATCCCCAGATCAATTTCGCCTTGAGATGATTATGGAACCTTTTTTAATATATTGTTCAATTACCCGTTGTGTAAAACTCCCTATGTAATCCATAAACGATGTAATGAATCAGGGTTTCACGACTTTGCTATGTGTAATTAGACAATTTACCTATATTTCTATGGACCATCAACTCTTCATTTCAGAAAAAAAAAATGTTTGGTCCTTTACTTATAAATTACATTTGAGCACATCAAAATTAGAGACGATAACGAGCAGGGTCATATTTTTTTCTCATCTAAACTCTGCCCAAAATTTGAAATCTTTCATCGCATCCGATTAGACCCAAGTTTTGGAAAGCTCCATCAACTCGAAACACGATCTATTTCTTAGGTCAAAAATCGCACATGACACGACTAATATATATCATTTTTATTAGGTAAAATGAAGACATAATTAAAAATAATAATATAAAAGATATACTATTATAACTATCTATAAATATATAAGATATAATTATATTAATATTATGTTGAATAAGGTCGATTTTTTTCACCTAAACTCAAACTTGACCCAACTTCACCCTTAAAAAATTCGAATCTAAATTTTTAAAATAAATATCAATCTGATCATATCATAATCTGTTAGATTTGAATGAGTGCCAAACATCTATGGATTGAAATGAAATCGCCATTTCTAATTGAGAGGTCAAACAACTATAACATGAAGGATACCTACTCCCAAACTAATAAGCTTACCCATCTCGTCCCATCATAGCTTCTTCAAAATTAGCATTTTAAATATTAATAGCATTACAACTTATTGAGCGACCTTATAGTAAAAGTAAATGTTATTCTCCTTAAAAGATCTGAATTTAAACAACGTTTATAATGTGCATAGCATGACTAAAAAATTTCTAAATAGAAACTACTAAAAAAATTCTAAACAGAAACTATTAAAAGATCATACTAATATCATCATTCTCAAGCATTAAAAGAATGGTAGAAATAGCATTCTAAAAACATTGAAGAGGGGTAATTTCTTTGGGAGCACACATTAAACTTTATTTCAGAACTTGAACATCATCAACCAAAACATAAACATGGCACAAACAAACAACAAAAAGTGATAAAATAATGACATAAAATTATGAGCTCCGAGTTTTGACATAATGGCCTGATTGAAGGTTGTAGACGACTAAACCATCATTCTCAATAGAAGATCCCTAGTTCCTCACAGTTGTCACATTCTTCAAAAGCATCTGTACAACGTCGTGAGATATCCTTGCAGCTTCATTCTTCAAGTGATTGATCTTTGCATCCGTTTCGATCTCGAGCCGCTTCACATTAGCCCCCGAGTCTCCGCTACTCTGCATGATGATCCACAACCACGGATAAGAATCGGAATTTTTATTGAAGACTTACAGAAATTATGTAACTATGAGATATTTAAGAGACAGACAGATTCAATAAAAGGATCCATTTTTGAATAACGATTGCGATAAAAGCCAAACAAGGGTCAGTTGATCATGTATAGAATTTCGGCACATTGCTGTCATTGAAACACGCTAGATCACGAAATCAACGAATTCATACCTCGGCTACCTTCTTCTGAAACTCATGCTCCACTTGAGCACGGTATTCAGCAATCTCTTTCTCTGCCTCTTCCTTGGCCTGTCTTAGTCTGGCCATTTTTGCTGACGAAAAGAAAAAAAAACAGAAGTGAGTCAACATCAAATCCTCCAGAAAAAGCAACAACTGCTACTATTAGAAAAGCAACCATGAAAGACAAGTCAACTTCTCTTCTACATTTAGTTCACATCTTATTATTCACTAAGATTGCATCAATTCAAAACAATTAAGAAAAATAATAATTACTTTCTCCAAGAAGTGAGAAAAATACAGAAAATATTAATAGTGCTACCATTTCTTGCAGCGTTGACAATGTGCTGAGCGTCTTGTTCTGCAGCTAGCAACTGTTGGATACCGCCCTTGTTGGCTTCCATATTTGCTGAATTTGGTTACAGTAACTCTGAAATTAAGATATTTTTTGGGGGTGGGGGTGCAAAAATAGTACTTTAGTAATTGTATAGCTATAAAATGAAGTAACATAATATACAGAATAAAATCCATTGGAACAACAGAAGGTCATCTAATAAACATTAACATGCACACACAAAGACTTTATAATACCCAATTCACACCACACTATCGACATCCCTAGCTCAGAAGTCAGAAATTTCAATTAGCATTTTTAGGTCCATTCCAAATTCAAAGAGATTTCAAAGACTCCAAGGACCTTATTTTCATGCCTACCAATGAATTAGATGTGTATTCTAAGGCATCCATGTAAAGCATTTTCCACGATTAAAGCCATAAACCCAAAGGCAAGCAATTCAATCTAAGTCAAATTCAACATCGAAATCCTTTGATGCATCAAAATCTCATGAATTAACATTATTTGATCCCCAAAATGATAGACAACAATGCCACCAAATAAAAAAGTTAACTCTTTAACTCAATCTCAGTAATCTCCTTCAAAATTCTCAAAAACCCATTCTCAGTTAACTCAAAATCAATAAAAAGATCAGGATCATCAGAATTCGCAACAAACAAAACTCTAGTTTATAAGCAAATTAGTACCTTGCACATCAAATCTAAGTCCATAAAAGGGCAGGAAAAGAATATCCACAAAAGGAATTCACTAAAAAAATTCTAAGTGAATTAAAATTATCCATCAACTAAATAGTCAGATCAACATTTTTTTATAAAAAAAAGAGAGCTTTTAAATTTATATAATTTCCAAATCGTTTAATACAGCGAATTATTAAGTTAAAAAGAAATGATCTGTAGAGTACAACAATATCAACATTATGGGCAACGAGAGAGAAAAAATAAACAAACTGTAAGGAAGAAGTAAAGAGAAAGATTGGAAGAGAAGACATACCCTAGAAAAAAGCAATGATTTGAGATTTAACCAGACAATTTAGGGGCGAATAAATCTTGGTGGCTTATTTAAAAGAGGTGATTTCGCCAAATGACCACTATACCCTTATTTGTCTTCATAAGAAATACTACTGTAAATTAATTTTCATATAATGTTATATTTGTCAAATTTAAATTGAATTTTAAGAAAAATAATAATTATTAACTAACTATTAAATATATCTATCAAATTTTAAAATATTATAAATGTAACTAATTAATTCAAACCAAGTATTTGTATATTAAAATATAAATAATATATTATTTCATATATGAATTTATTGTTTCTTTATAAATCTATGTTTTTAATCAGTTTGATATCTAAATTTATCAAACATTATATATTTAATTTTAAATGAATTAAATTATTTATTTTATTTTAAGTTATAACAAAATGTAATCTATAATCTACATTATACTCTCAAACATTTGAAATTGATATTATAATTTCATAATTGGGCTGGTGAGCTGGCCAATCAAAATACAACATAAAAACGTTCATGTATCGAGCTGATAAAACCTTACTTTTGTTTAGAGATGGGTCAAAGGGACTTGAAGAGGACGATCGTCTTCTTAAAAATTTTAAATTTTTATATAATTTATGTAACTTTTTATTATTAATGTTTTTTAAATTCTTAAAATTTTATAAGTTTATCTCTTATAGCAACTTTCGATAGTAGTTTTTTTTATAGCTAATACAGAAAAACATAGATCAGCTTATGAGCCTTGATCATCATCCATAATGCCGCAACCTCACACGGGATTTCCTGATACAACATTGTTCCAACCGGTTTCCCCCTAGCCATCGAAGCAAGTTTGTCAGCTACCTTATTCACCTCACGATAGGTATGGCCAACTTTCGAAACCCAATTCCTCTTTAAGAGATAGGAAATCAGCAGGACAATAGTGTTCCCAATGTCTTCGTGAGACTGTCGATTAAAATTGTCAAAATTATCAGAACGTGAAACGTGAATTTTTGAAAGGCCCGAGCATCTGAAATGGTGACGTAATGTAATGATAGGCACTTGAATTAATCATAAAAAAAATGTTTGGGCACCTATCTAGAAAAAGCGATATAGTTTGAGCACTGATTTTCTAATTAAGCCATTAACAAAAGCTGAAAGTTCTCTCCAAACATAACATATAATCGATAATCAAACGGTCGATCCGACAAGAACGATGATGATGATGATGAAGAAGAATTCAATCATATACCTATAACAATCAAATACGTAGTATTATACAACTGATAAGATAACAATAAGCCAAGCATTGCCAGAAACCTACTGCAACTGTGAAGAATGCAGTCATTAGTCTTCAAGTTGTCCAAAATATTATCCAGTTTATTGCTTCCCATTTCATTTTGTACAATTCCTCCGTAGATGGATTTTAGCGCCCAAAACAACTGCCGTATACTGCATCAGTTATCTTCTTCATCGATACAAGCTGAATAAGGTAATTCATGTCATGCAGAAACAAGCAAAGATGTTATGCATATGGTTAAAAGGGAACGAAACAAAACACATATAAACCGGGTAGGAAATCCATCGATGTGAAGCATGATCACGTAGCGTAATTCAAAAGCAACTCCAGAAAACCATAAAGACTGCAATCAAGGGATTCACTGTGCATGCCTAGTGCATAGACATCTTTGTAAGCATCGATTCCGACGAGAAGAAGCTTTGGGGGAAAATGTTAACTTCACCGGAAAATCCCATCATAAAGACCATCAGTCAAGTATAACAACTCCCAAGAGCAACACCAAAAGACAACCAGCTTTGAGTCACTTTTATGATAGCTGTAATGAAATTGCTGTCCAATTACCAATGCATATACTTTCAAAAATGCTGTCTAAATTAGCATTAGAATTAGAACAGTACATGCTACAAAAAGAAGGGCAAATGTCAAACCAATTTTTGAAAGTTTTCGTGTCATCAAATCGGAAGCAATACAAAGGTAAAATAAATATTTTCCCACAAGGCCATTCTCAACTACAACTAAAAAATTTCCATCTTTGAACTTCATAATTCTTTGCAACTTAAAGCTCAAAGACAGTAGCTTCTCAAGTTTAACTTTATATCTCTGATTTTAGGAGCAAAAGCGGGCTTTCCTTGTTTGGTCACTTCACTCTCATTTCATCAGCAATTCGGAATTATATGACAAAGTTAAACATGCTAGCATGAGCTTCCACCATACAAGGCTTGTACTATTATGACCCTAAATCAAACAGCTTAAGCCATATCTTTTTAGCAGAATCAATGAAATATGATCACATAGATTATTAGCACGATCATCATTCGAGGACGAGGATGAAACCGTATGATCCGTCACTTTATTTGAATGACTGAGCAATTTAATCAAGTAATATGTCAAGAAAAGGAGGTAAATTAACTTGCTGCAAGACTTCCAGTTTAAGACAGAAACATAAAGAAATTTGTACTGAATTGCTAAGTTGGAATTATTGAACGAATAACCCCCACAGAGCACAACCTTTCTAAACCAATTAATCAAAAGAACAATTGTAACCCCCAGACCCGGTCTGTAAGTTAGACCCAAAACCTAAGTGGTCACATGTCCCATTTAGAGATTTTTTTTTAAATATCTTACAATACATTAGATATAATACATAACAAAATGTATTAATAATACAGATATATCCAAAATGATAGCAAATACATGTCACAAAATATAACCGAAAAACATATAGAGATATATGTTCGTACAAAAAAAGTAGTTGATCTCCCCTGATGCCAAATCTGCTAGCTTACAGTCTGCTGTTATCTGAAAAAGGGTAAAAATTATAGAATGAGCTAAAAAGCCCAGTGTGCTTCAAACAATGTATAAAAACATACTAATAAAATATTTCAGTAAAATCATTTCATCAAACATGTTTGTTTTATTTAAAATACGAACACTACCTCCATCCGTCACGAACAAAATGTGTAGGTTCCCCAGAATCATACACCCCGTCACGTCCAGTAAGGCCCTGAGCACAAAGCCGAAGAGCCTACAAGTATTCTTCCTCCAACAATATTTCCCCCAATGTCAGTAATAAACAAGTATGTATTCAAGTAAAATTGGTGAATAATTCAAGCTTTTAAAAAAAATCATATACCGAAATACATAAATCAGATATTAGGAAATCAATATTCAGGAATTAAGTATTATGTATTATGTCATAACAGTATTATGAATTATTACCAATCTAAAACGATTCAAATAATATTTTTAAAATAGTAAAATAACACTGTCATGAAACACACCTGTAACAGTCTGAGAAATCAGATAGGGAAGCTTATTACTAGGTTTGTCGACCACGCTCTGCTGCAGCGCTAGATCCTACGAATTGGAAAAATCCATATTAGAATCCTAATATAAATAATCTAAATATTATTTAAATAATATACGGAAACTTACCGGTAATTCTTGTAGTACGTGGTTCAGGCTGATCTAACGAATGAACAACTCCAGACCTAACTGATCCTCGTTCAGGTGAAACACGAGTACCTTCATAAAATGTTTTACTGAATCAATTCCTTAACCAATTCTCATATAAATAATCCAAATACTAAAATACTAAGCCTTTTTTGGTTCACATGCTTGATTCAGGGATTTTGGGTCAGAATTTGACAAAACGGACTTCGGAATCAGATTCATGACATCGAAAACATAAAATATGACCTTCCGAAATTCTGAATTCTAGGTCAAAATCAAAGTCAACGGATTTGACTAACGATTCGGAGACTTTCGGGTTTGAATTTTGTGAAACGGACCCCAAAAACAGATTCGGGTCGTCAAAAATGTCAAGATAGGTATTCTCGGAAAAGATTAACGGTTGTTTAATAGCCGGTTGAAGCCGATCAAAGTTCTGGTCAAAAGTGGTCCAAAATTACGAAAATAGCATCATTTTAAAATTAATTACCAATATAGCACCATTTTCAAAATATTTACTAAAATGTCATTTTTTCAAAAATTACAAAATAGCATTTTAAAAAAATTACAAAAATAGCACCATTTTCGAATTAATTCCCAATATGTCACCAATTTCAAAATAATTACTAAAATGTCACCCGGTCAATAGTCAACAGGTCGGGTCGGGTCAACGGGTCAAGTCGGGTCAAAACTGGTAAAACATTGAAAATAACCGGTCATTTTGAGCTTCCCCACGCGCAGTGGCGGCGCGTGGGATTGTTTATGGCAGCGTAAAATTCACGGAAAAATTTCTAAAAATTATTTTTAGCGATTTCTAGATACTTACAAAGATCGGTTTAAATTTTTAAACGGCAGAGAGCTCGATTTCATCAAATTGAAAACTTTAACCGCTTCACCTCCCCACGCGCCGCCGTCGACGGAGACCGTGGATGACACCGGCAGACTCGGAACGGTACAAGGAACACGATGGTGCGGGAGGTGTCGTAAACGGAGAAACGATCGGCGATGAATTTAAGATTTTCTCGGCGATTGAGCTAAAAAAAACGTCGAGACTTTGACTGGAAATTCCCAGCGTTTGGCAGTGTTTCGCTTTAATTAATTTAAGGGGTTTGTTCCTCGCTCGATGATGAATAGGATGGTGGTTTCAAAACGACGATCAAAATTCGGACGGCGTCGGGATCGTTGTCGGAAGTTGACGTTGGGGAAGGAAGTTTAGGCTCAATTTAGAAGCAATTGGTTTTTGATTTTTCAGAAACCAATTGCCGTATATAATACCAAACTTCACCAACTTTCCTTGGGTAAATTCAGGGCTTGGTCCCTGAATTTTCTTTAACTCTAAAACAAGCTACAAATTTTTAAAATCTTTTAATTTAGTACCCAAATTTCACCAAATTACTTAATTAAAACCTCAAATTACAATTATATTTTTTTTTCAAATTTCCGGGTTGTTACAATTCTCCCACTCTACAAGAAATTTCATCCTCGAAATTTACCTTATGCAAATAGATGAGGAAATTGAGCCTCCATTACTCCAATGTCTCCCAAGTAGCTTCTGAGGGACT